ATATTGTATTTTTACTGAAGTAACAGTTTAAGTTCAGGACTTCCACCACTTACACTTTGTCCTGCTCTGTTTAGAACAATCTGCCCAATCTACCTGGGGGAAAAAAATGATTTACCGGTGAAGAGACTTGAAGTATAATTCAAAGTGATGACCGTAGCATAAAGTGGTCACGGTCAGATTATCCTGCAGACTCCTGTGTTTCTATTTTAAGAAATGTTCAGGGCATCATTAAAATAGCATTTTGAAATGGGAACAGCAGTAATTATGGTTTTATTAGTTTCAGTACCACCTGCTCCTCACACATCTAAACTGTCTCAACATACCACAATTTTATATGTGAAAAAATATCACACACAAATAACAGTCTCTACTGTAACCTGGAGGATGTCAAGGTACATGTAAAAGAGCAGATTCATGTATAAAAAACCTTTTCTTTTGTATTCAGGTTATGTCGTCCTGTAAAGAAGCACAGCTCCCCTTTTTCACACTGTGACCGAATATTGTTGAGACACAGATCTCCTTTAGCGTGTCAGCTTAATCCTCCTATTTTTCACTGACGATGCTTACCTGTGACCTTGTCTCGTTTTATTTTTATCTCTGCACCAGAAGGATCAGAATGAGGAAACTCTGCTTCATAAATGAGGGCCCGGTGGGAGCCCATTGATGCTGCAGATAAGATATTATATGGTGTTTTACAGAAAAAGAACTGGAGCACTCAAGAGAGTTTTTATAAAGATAAGGAAAACACAGTTAGTCACTTGATTTATGAGGTTATTTTAGAGGTGACAGGGAGGCTAGGCTGTATTCCAAAAGTCTTCTGTGAAACCTCCAACTTTTCATTTGTGTCTTTGAACTTTTTGGATGATAATATTAAAAGAGGCAAAGCTTCTCTTGGAAAATAAGTAATCCATCTTTGTGAGGTGACAGTACAGATCATTTTTGATAATGAATAGAACAAGCTTGCTGGTAGCCCTGCTGCTGATGTTACGTTAGCTTAATGCTTTGATAGCTGATGTTGGAATACAAGTACTTTAGTTGCTAATGTTACGTTAGCTTAATGCTTTGATAGCTGATGTCGGAATACAAGTGCCTTAGTTGCTAATGTTACGTTAGCTTAATGCTTTGATAGCTGATGTCGGAATACAAGTAACTTAGTTGCTGATGTTACGTTAGCTTAATGCTTTGAGAGCTGATGTCAGTGCTGTTAAAACTTTTTGTCGCATTAACTGATGTTGGATTGCTGTTAGGTTAGCCAGGCTAACGCAGCTTTGTACAATGTTAGCGGTTGTTGAATAGCTTGTGAACAGTTACTAATTGGAAAATTGGTCGTTATGTAACTCCCACAACATGAACATGCTAATTCTATGCTAACTTTGTGCCTTATTTATTTATTACTTACTACTTATTCATTTGTTTAATTTGCTTTTGATGAAAACGTAACACTTCGTCCATGTTTATCCGTTGTTTGTATAAATTCAGTATGTCTGTTTCCACAGCACTTATTCAATTAATACAACAACACTGCTGCTCTTGGTTTCTCTACCCCAACCACTTTACTGCTCTCATTTAGAATTTTTTCCCAGTTGCTAAGGCTTTGTCCGTTTAAAGTGCATGATTAATAGTCTTTTAATGTGAAATATCTGCAGGAAGTGTTGAGTTTAACTGGCAGTAAATTAAAAGTATTAAAAAAAACTTTAAAGTACAAAAAACTGAATTTAATTAACTAAAATAAAGTTTAGAGTAATGAAATACCAGCTGTCAATTCTCTTTTTTTTCTCCTTTTTGTGATTTCAGGCCCGATGACGTGTTGTGGCGCCGTTCCCACGACACCAGCGTCCTGCTGCACTGTGTCCTCTGGCCGATGGTGTCACTCCTGCTGGGCACGCTCATTGTGCTCCTGACGGTGTGCGCACGCTCCCTGGCCGTTCGAGCCGAAGCTCTCCAGAAGAGGAAATGCTCTTACGAAGTGTGCCAAGACCTGTCAGCTGGTCCCTCAGACCGCCGCGGCAATAAGGCCGAAGACCCCCTTGCGACGAACTCTGACCCCGAGTCGTCGTCACCAACAAGGACCCTGCCGCTGTTTGCGGTGCCAGTGCGACGACGCGATCGGGAACATTAAAAGGGGAAACAGACAGCTGTTTTCACGTCGTGAAAATAAATCAGGATGCTAACGAGCCGGTGGGCGAAGTCGACTAACTGGCTGAGGACGCCACCAACAACCCACTGCTGTGTGGTGTGGTGTTTATGATCAGAAGTGTTAAAACCAGGATATGAGGAGAGGATGAGAGGAAACGACTTTGTTGCCTGTAGATCTGAGCAAAGACACCTTTCCTCTGGTTTTAACTGGATCTCTCGGATGCTGCTGAGTTGAGTCCTCTGGTTATAATCAGCATTTCTTCAGTGATAGAGTTGTTACGAAGGGTTCTTATAACGACAACAGTGCCGTGATAGATGGTACGGTGAATTATGTGTCAGGAAAAAAGAGTCAAACTTCACTTGAGGACTCATTACTGCTCTTTACTGCGGTCTTAACTGTAGCTCTTCTATCGATGTAGTTTTCCCTCTGAGTCCCAGTAGCCATACGTGTTGATAAATAGAGCCAAAGTCCTGACGTCTCTTCAGGCTAGCCGCTGTTCCTCGACCTTCTGAGGCTCAGTGCAATCTTTCTTTGAGGGTTTCTTCCATTGGTATTTCTGAAAATATTAATCTATTTATTACCTATTTTATTTAGTTGTGAGGGATCATGTACAATATTTAAGACTTTCCCTCCGCAGCACTGATCCCGTTAAGACAGCAACAGAGTCATGTTGTACTTACTGTAGCGCTCTATTGCTTCGAGTTTCTTTACTCTTGGAATTTGGTACCATTTTCATTCACTCATTTTTAGTCGAGGTGCTTCTACTTTGCTGTTTTTTTTAATCACCTTTTAAGTTTTTGTTTGTTTTTTGTTTTGTATGCCAAAATTACAACTCACAAATTCGCCTCAAAGGACTTCAGACCCAGTTTTGAGTTGAAGAAACCCAAAAATAAGTAATGTTTTCTTGGGTTTACATATATAACTGAGGATAAACAAGTGTCTTCTACAGCACTTCGATACAAATCAAATCCTGCGTGAGTTTAACATGTCAAATTTATTTCTTCACATCCACAAATAACTAAACTTAACAAAAAATTACAGTCTGAAAACAGATTTCATGTTTGTTTGTTTTTTTCAATAATTAGTCATTGCTTTCTTCCTTATCTAGGACAGCGTTTTAAGGGCATTTTAGGTTAAAAAGATTTTTTTTTTTTTTAAATACAAAGCCTTGGGAAAGGGTAGTATTCCAATTAGAAATTTGGAATTTCTGAGATTTAAGTCGTGAATTTACAAGAAAAAAAATCACACAAATTAAAAAATCTGAGATTATTAAATCATATATTTGAAAAACTCAAAATTTCTCAGAAATTAAAGTCACAAATTTACATTTTACATTTTTTTGGATGAACGTCGTCACACCACAGACGCTTATTTTTTTTTTATGCCTCCACGCCAGCAATAGCCGCGGACAGAGGTATTATGTTGTCAGGTTGTCTGTCCATCAGCTTGTCCCATCGGCGTGAATGCGATTTGAGGGAATTGCTTCCAATTTGGCAAAGGTCAAGGTCACTGTGATTGTCGCAGTAATGTTGTTTATTTTTAATATTTTATGCGGGGGGGGGGGGGGGGGGGTTGCCTCTTTTCTTTCCACTGTACTTCAGTTGAATCAAACACTGTTAAATCTGATCACCCCATTTTCACGACTCTGACATTAAATTCAGTAACATTTAATGTAAATATGACGCTGCAGACTAACAGGCTGGCAGATAAATATAGTGGGTCAAACACTGTAATATTTTAAATTAGAATCTAGTGCAAGAAAGTAGAACATATCCCAAAATGGATCCTCAAACCGCTGGAGAACATGCACTCTGGTATTTCCTGCATGTAAATAATGACGAAAACAGTGAATGTGAGGCAGTGAAAAGTAAATGGGAGGATAAATTTTAAATCAATTTTCATCTGAGGTCAATTTAAATAATTGAACTTAATGATTTATTAATGTATTGAAATACAGTGGTGACTCATCAGAGGCCCATTAGTGGCTCCTGTTGCTTCTGGGACTCCTGGTTAATGATGTGAGAGCTCTTTGAACCGTGAAGCTGTTTGCAGACAGCAGGAACAAACCACAGGCCCTAATGTCAGAGGTTAAACTGGGAGCTCCCAGGCGAAATGTTGGAGGTTATACTGGGAGGACACAGTGGACACAACCACAGCAAATGCTACAGGGAAAACTTCAGTTCAAGTCAAACTGGAACAAAGTCTATGGAGGACAAAAAATGACTAAAGTATTAACAAATACATGAATGAATGAATGAATGTATAAATAAATACAAGAATAAAAAATTAAATGAAAATTTAAAAATAAACACACCAATAAATAAATGTATGAATAAATACAGGAATAAATTACTGCTGAAATAAATACAAAAATAAAGAAATAAATTAATGAATACATGTTGAAATAAATATATAAATGCACGCATAAATAAATAAATCAAACATGATAATTAAACAGGTCATAAATATATATATAAATAGGATATTTATTTAATTTTTTTGCACAACCACATTCATTTATTTATATATAATGTGGGAGGAGTTCATTTGGGCATTATTTATTTATTTCCATAATTATTTTAGCATTTATTTATTCTTTATATATTTGTTTTGGTATTTATTTATTTTATTAATTTATTTATTTATTTATACATTTATTTATCGTCTCATTTTTTGTCCTCCATGAAAGACAAGTCACATTTCTATTTATTCTGGTGTAGAGGAGTCAAAAATATCACAGCGTTTTGGTAAATATTACTTTACTGCAAACAGTGGTAGAAAAATAATGAATAAGATTTGTTCAAGTACTGTACTTAAGTACAACTTTGAGGTACTTGTGCTTGATTTAAGTATTTTATTTTCATGCTGCTCCATTATTAGACCCCACTGCGTTTCAGAGGAAAATATTGTTCTTTTAATTCCACAACATTTATTATAGAAATAAGACTTTTATTATACAAAACATATAAAATGCTTTTAGTTCTGATTCTCTTAACTGTCAGTTAAAATTGGGCTGTTTTTAAGTATTTTTGTTGAGTTGTTTTTAGATAAGCAATAAGGCCTCATAATTATGTCCTCTTTTTATTTTTACCTATCGAACAGCAGCTGAAAGTAGAGGAACCATTTTGTTTGGGGAGGAGCAGTTTCTCTTCAAGTGTAGCGCAGGTTCAACCTGTCAGTTTAGATACTCCGCCGCCATCAGGTCACTAAAATGTCTCTAAATTTAGTGTCTGCAGACACTTGTTCTCCACAGATGAAAGTCAGTGGTGAAACTAACAGGGGACACCATGTTTGGTTCAGCTGAAACTTTCTGTACAGGTTGTCGTGCAGCTGAAATTTTTGCTTCTCTGCTGTAAATCTGATTGGCTGTTTGGTTACAAAGCAGAAACGACACAAACACCTATTTAAATTGAGTGCAGTTGATCAGCAGCAGCAGGTGTTGCAGATGTGGTGTTAAATTTTGATTAAATCTTTTCACAGCTTGTGTGTGTAGGCAAAGACACTACATTTGGATTTATCCATTACGAGGCACATGAAATATGTTTGTTAGTCAGTATTGTTTACAACACAGTTGGTGCACATGATATTTTGTTTTTTGGAGTCCGTATAAACCCATGTTAGTGTCATCTTGAATGACTGTGTCAGTTTGGGTTCACTTTGCCACCTTCCTGTCAGTTACTCAAGCTGGTACGGTTGTAACAGTAGCATCGGAAACACATCACGGTTGACAGTGATGCACACCAGACTCTGATCATACTGCCTGCCATGAACAGCAGTGCTGGGAACCAGTATACCGGCATGTCCAGTATTTTGTTCAATGAAACACAGAGATTTCAGTGTCATTTTCTGAATTCCTGTACAATATTCTGTCTTCTTCTTAAACTCTGGGAAAAAGTGTAAGTATTGTTGTAAAACTTTTAAAGGATCAGACTAAATTAGTTTTCTGCCACGCAGCCAAGTTAACAATAGATCTGCCGTCGCCAAACATGATTCATCTTGTATCAGAGAGAGCTTTTGATCTTTAAGTCTCCAAATTTCCTACCACCACCGCCATCCCTACAGTCTAAAAATTACTTACACGTCGCCTAGCAACAGCCACAAGGCCGTGTGATGTCGCTGCCAATGAAAAGTGAAACAGCCGAACTTCAAGCGTGCGGCTGCTCTTGTTCTCAGTGTGAACTGACTGTTGTTGTAAATACATCTTTTCCTCCTCAGGTTCAGATGCTCTGTGGTGAACTCTCATGTTGCTGTAGCACATTTTGTTTCCTCGTGGACAAGTGTCGATATCTGAATGTTTCAGATTTGTGTTGTTGGTTTGACTTTGACTCGAGCGGGAGTAGAAATCACTTTTTTTTTAACCTGTACTTCGCAAAGTTTGACTGAAAACAAACTATGAATGTATTCTTTATTTTCTTTGAGACATACTGTGCACAAAGTTTTATTACTCTCAGTCTTTAAATAGTTTGCAACAGGTTTTTGTGCAAAACTGAAATAGTCTCCTAGACAACCAGAGGAATCACTTTATTTGACATGCAAAGCCATATCTACATAAACTAAACTGAAAAATTAAATATGCCACGACTGCTAAAGAAAGTAGAATGCTTTCTGAAGTTTTCACAAAACGAAAAACTATCTGCTGCGCATTAAAAACAACCCGGTCTCACTCTGAAGTTGTCGAAACCTGGCGCTTGGGCAGTGACTTGGTGTCAGACACTGACAAAAAAAGCCGTCCGTCAGCATGATACATGCTTTTATTTTGAAGGAGACTGTATGTAAACAGTAAATTTCCTGTGAAAACAGAAGTGTATTTTGAAAGAACACAATGCATGTAACAGGCTGACGTTGACATACAGGGTACCTTGCATATCATATCTGGACGTGGAAAGTCCATGACCAAACGTCGATATATGACGAGGTCAGAGTGAGAATGTGTTGTGAAGAAAAAAATGATCCGGAGCACACACAAAATATTTTGCTGCTCATGAAATACACTCTAGTGCTCATCTGAAACTCACTGCTGCACCTAATAAACCTCTGTGGCCCTGACCAGAAACATGGACAAAAAACATTTTGCTCATGTACCCGACTTTTTGTGTTACCATTCCTGCATTGGTAGTTTCCTGTGTGAGCCAAAAAGTAGTTTGACAAACTGTTTCTCTGCACAGGATCCACTCAGGAGCTCTGAACCAGCGCCCTCATTAATGTAAAGAGCAATTGTCTGATAACGTTCTCCAAACAGCCTTCTTAACCACAAACTCCAGAGAAAATGTGTTTGTGAATTTGGGCTCTCCAGTTAGATTTTACAGCTTGATGTGACGTTCAGAGGCATCAGGAAATCTCACGACAGATCTTAGTAAAAATGTGAAAGTAAAACGAGTTGTATGACTCCGTGAATGTAGAGAGACGAGCAGGAACTACTGATGTAGCTTCATGATGTAGCTTTGTAAAGTCATCACTTCATCCACTGTCTTGTTTCTTGCTTTCTTTCCTCTCGTCTTCCTTTTTTACTTTCTTTTCCTACCTTTCCTTTTCTTTCACTCAAAGACATCATCTGGTCTTTTTCATCAGGTTTACATATTGCAGTTATATGTAAAATTTTCATCCAGTTGAGTCAAGAAATTCTAACATTAACCCCAAAGTACCATTTTATAACGTGTGTTATCGGTCTTATCACGACATAAGATAGAATTAAGAAAAAATAAGACAGGTAGCCTCATGATATCGTCTACTGACAGTTTGTTTCTCTTTTATTTTGGTGGTAGGTCGTCTTCACGGTGCTTTGTTCTAATTTGCTCCGTACAATAAAACCATCCATTGCCCCGCTCACATTATTATCATCCATCACACTGGCTGCCAATCAGGAGCTTTTGATGTGTCACACGCTT